TGTGTGTGTGTGTGTGTGTGTGTGTGTGTGTGTGTGTGTGTGTGTGTGTGTGTGTGTGGGCCTTCAGTCATGTTTGTCCAGAAAGCAGTGTGAGGGTCACATCTCATTACAAATAATTTGAAAGTTGTTTTTATTAATGAGGAAACGTTTGGATTGTGTGCTGTAAAGAGAAACATCTTCCAGCTGCCACACACCGACGCATGTTTTAGTGAGCCATCACCTGGTTTCACCACATGCTTACTTTCAGCAGATGGGTGCGGCGGAGTAGGGAAAGTGCTCAGCGTTGTGCTAATCTCAACCCCTTGTTGGGTTTTCTTTTAAATGTTTTTATCCAGGGAAGCGTAATAGCTGCTGCATCTGGGTCACGATTCTTGAGTTTATTTATGATTTTTTTTTTTAATTTTCAGCTCTTTTCTGTAAAGACTTGAATCTAAAATAAAGGTTTAGCATTTCTTGAAGGAAAGCACATCACCCCGTGCCTTTCATGGCAGATTTTTCTTTTGGGTCAAATCATAAAAATATTATTATGTGAGTTTTAGTTCACCTTCAGAGCGCTGTTTCAACCCTAAAACTAAATGATGTCATTTCAGTGTAAAAGCCCTATATATCATGTTCTAAACTGGTTTTATGAGATGTAGAAGTGTGGATCTGAACCGCTTCTACAAATCTTGTTACAGTTGACCAATGAGACGTTCAACACGACTCAGCCCGATCTCCCAGAGTGTTTCCAGCTCACTGTATTGTCATGGCTGCCTTGCATCTTCCTGTGGGCCGCTTTCCCTGTTTACCTCTTCTACCTGAAGACGAACAAGAAAGGATACATCATGATGTCCCTGCTGAACAGGATCAAAACGGTAAGAACTGTACAAGCCTGTATGTAAGACTGTGGTTTTAATGTCCTTCATTTTTATCACAGAAGCCAGGAAAGGAACATTCTGCTGTGTTATTGTTGATTATTTAATTTATGTTTTTATTAACTGAATTGTGCAGGTTGGAAATATACGACCACATCAGGTTAAAAGTTTTTTTTGTTGACTGCTTTTTCTAAAAGAGGGTTTCTTGCTTTTGACACACAAATCTGAACCTCTAAATTTGTTCTTGTGAATATATCCCATTATTAAGAATTACTTTTTGACTCTGATATTTGGGATGTTTCCCTTAGACTTGGGCAATATCTATTTTTTTAATTACTATTCCGCTTTTTTAAATTATATTGTGTTACATGGCTATACAGTCTGCCTAAACATGCTTGTGCTGCTGCGTCATTACTGCCTGCCCCCCTAACAGAACACACAATGATTACAGGAGTAAATTTGAACAGTCCACCCCCACAAAAAAAATGTACCACACAATAAGTTTCAATTAGGGCTGGGCGGTATGACCACAAATTCATATCACAGTATAAATCGAATCCTTTCACGGTAACAGTATATATCCCGGTAGAAAATAATCATAAAAAGCAAAGACAATGTAATTTTTAAAGTATTTATTTTGCAGAAAACTGTAATCATAATCAAATCCAGTATTTTTGCTGTAGTGCAAATGGACATAACAGAAGTACAAAATAATTTTTTATATATTGCAAAACGGTTTCAATAACAAACCAAAAAAAATTCTCAAACTTTCAACAGTATTAAAATAAAGTGGATGTTATAACCAGTACTTCAAGTAAAACTAGTCATTTAGACAAAAAAAAAATTCTAAGTTGGCATAAGTTGCCTAAAACYTTGTAGTGTGACAGGGCCATAAGGGGCTTAAGCTGCACATAGTCCTAGTCATAAAACAATTTCAGATAACTGGAATTTAAAGTGTAACTTACCCCCCTGTGAAAAGATAACTCCGCCCCAAG